AGCAGAGGAGCAAACATTTTGGTCACCATCCTCTGAAAGGTTGTCCCGGCGTTCTTCAAACCAAAAGGCATGACCCGATAGCAGAAAAGTCCCCTTGGAGTCGTGAAAGAGGTGATCTCTCGGTCAGGCCCATGCATGGCGATCTGGTGGTAGCCGCGGTAGGTATCCAAGAAACTAAGCCTATTATGTCCAGCCGTCAAGTCCACGAGCTGGTCAATTCGCAGCAAAGGGAAACTATCTTTGGGACAAGCTCGGTTGACTGTCTTATAGTCGACACAAACTCGCCACTTTCCATTTTTCTTCAGCACCACTACTATGTTGGAAATCCACTGAGGGTAGTGCACTTCCTGAATTGCTCGTGCCTCAAGCAGGTTCTTCACCTCCTCTGCAACTACCTCGGCGTGATGTAGTGCCGATCTCCTTGTTCGCTGGATGACTGGCTTTGCTCCAGGGAAGACATTGAGGTGATGGCACATAAAACTTGGGTCGAGGCCAGGCATGTCGTAAGGCGACCACGCGAAGACTTCGATGTTGGCCATCAAAAACTCAACCATCGCGGTCCTCTCTATGGCCGTGAGACTTGAACCGAGCAAGAAGAACTTGTTCGGTTGTTCTGTATCAATTCGCACCTCAACCAATTCCTCAACAGCCTTGTCTTCGGCCTTGGTGCCCACATCATCCAGGACACCCTGGTCCTTCGATCCCTCAATCATCTGAACGAATCCTTTGGCAGCCCGGCTCCCATTGACCGCCACGAAGCACTGCTTGGACATGACCTGATCGCCCCAAATCTCCTCGATTGCCCCCATAGCCGTGGGGAATCTCATCACCTGGTGGTAGGTCGACGCTACAGCTTGCATAGCGTGAAGCCATCCCCTTCCAAGGATAAGGTTGTACGTCGAAGGCACTTGTAGCACCCAAAACTCCACTTGCTTGACCATGGATCCCGCTTTAACCGGCAGAATAATCTTTCCCAAGGGCCACTCCGGTTGTGAGTTGAATCTAACCAGTGGCGAGGTTGCCGGAGCCAAGTCTGTTTCCCGGAGTTTGAGCTGCTTGAACGCATCATAATACATGATCTCGACCGAGCTTCCCTGATCGATCAAGATCCGTTTAACATCAAATTCCTTGACGCGCAGTGTTACTACTAGGGCATCGTTGTGCGGCGTCTGGATACGCTCTAGATCCTTTGAGGTGAATCTAATCACGTCTTTTTCTTCAGTCTTCCCCCTTTTAATGGCAGGCTGTACCGACAAAACTTCCCGCATATGTTCTGCCTTTTTTTATCATGCCCCGAAGTTCGCAAACACGCTTCGGTTCCACGATGCCGTGGATGACATTAATAACTCCCTGTGGTGGTGCGTCTCGGCCATCCTGTCCCCTGGGATCGACCGAAGCCTGATTCGGCTTTACGCCGCCATCAATGTAAAGATCTAGATGCCCGGCCGCGACCAGCTCTTCTAAGTGTTGCCGCAAAGGAAAACAATCCTCTGTTCGGTGGCCCCTCTCCCGGTGGAATGTGCAACGATACCGCGGATTGTAGCCCTTCTGTCCATCGCCCAACTTAGCAGGAAACCGGACATACTCCTCGTCTCGGATTTCACTAAGTATGCGATAAATTGGAATCTTGAAGACCGTGGTGATGCCAGTCCTTGCCTTCAATCTTCTGTTAGCATCCGTAACATCATCTCGGGCGTAGTCATCCTGATCGTTTCGACGTCCTCTACCCCGATTTTTGCGATTCGAGCCACGGTCTGATTCCTCTGCTCGTTCATTTGTGTGGTTGGACTCTTGCCCAACTGCGTGCACTTTGCCTACTGTCTTCTTGTTTGTTGCTACCGGAATTGCCTTCACGGTAGAAGCTGACGCGTCATCCTCTACTCGGATGTGCTCATTGATGCGCTGCATGAACTGGCCCATGGAGGTCGGTTGGTGCATGGTCAGCGAGTCCCGCAATCTATGGCCGACCGGGAGACCACGCTTATATTGCGTGATTGCGAGGTTGACCAGGCAGTCCAAGATCTCGTTGAAGGTTTCCCAGTACCTTGAGTTGTACGCTTTCAGTGTGTCGCACGGTTCCATCTTGACACTCAGCAAGTGATCGACTTCCTTCGGTGTTTTTGTGTTGGTTTTGAAGCGTGTAACAAACGCCTCGGCCAACTGATGCCACCTTTGTATGCTCCCTTCCGGCAACCTCTCGAACCACTTTAAGCCCAGCTCGCCTAAACTTGACGGGAATATTAGGCACATCAGTCCGTCATTTCGCCTATGTCCAGCCATAACCTGTCGAAAGTGGCTCACATGCATGTAAGGATCGGTTTTTCCATCGTAGAGTGTGAACTTAGGCTGGTGGAAGCCTGCCGGAAGCGGTGTTGTTTCTATTTCTAGAGAAAAAGGGATGGCGCTCAGCCTGGCCAAGTCCGTATCTTCAAAGAGTGGCACTGCTTGGCGGGGTGGAGGCATTCCGACCTCCTCGCTGGTGTGAACCCCGTAGGATAGCCGCTGGAACGCCGGTATTCTCTGAGCTTCGCGCCGGCGAGCCCGCTCCTTTAAGACTGCCCGCAAATCCTCTGAATGAGCGGAGTAAGAATACCTCGACGTCGTCTCCGGACGTGAGGGTTTGTAGGTGCTGTCTTGCGCGCTAGACTTCTCTGCACGCTCGTCGGAATCACCAACCTCGTAACTTCTGGTAATAGATATGGACTGAGTACGTCGCTGACTCTGTCCGCCTGAACGGCGGGATGGGGTGCGCTCACTGTGGTCTCCCACTCCAGTTACACCATTCCCTTTGACATGCCGCTTCAGATCCTCCATCTCCGCCGCCATTCGCCGGATGACAGCATCTTGGTCCCTTAACTTACATTCTAGGCGCTTGGCGTGTGAGTCTCTCCTCCGCCGGTGACCGTCTGGACTCCGCGAATGACCATGACTTCTTCCGCGCTTATCCCGCACGTCTAATGACTGTCCTCCAGTGGGCGTCCCCAAGTCTGCCATTGGATGGATGGCGGGAGGACCTTCTCTCCTTCGAGTGAACTCCGGGGTGGCTCCGTCTATGGCAGACAACGGAAACTCGTCGTTGTTCGCCATGGACGGTGATCAGATGAACCTGGAAGACAAGGTTTTGTCTGTCAATGTTCCCACAGACGGCGCCAATTGTACGGGGAGCAAATATTCCGGCAAGCCCGTACTCCTTTCTTCCAAGCTCCGTTTATGTCCGATCACTTGCGAGCAAATAACGGTGAGCTGCCCGGCGGTGTGTGGCCGGAGAAACCCTCCGACGATCAAGTTAGCACGCACCTTAGGATAGAGAGAGAGAGAGAGAGGAGTGTTAAAGTGCAGGATTTTTCTTACAAAGTGTTCATCTGTCGCGTATGGGGGGCGCAGACATGCTTATATACCCTTTGCGCGCCATATCCACTCCCAGTCAACTCCTGACACGTGGCTCTGCTATCCCATCTGTCAGCATAAACCTTGCTGAACATCACCCAATCTCAACTGCCTGCCTTCACAACTGGAGCCCGGCAGCCGAACTTCTCTATCCACGGCGGGGCTGTGCTTAGTACCCCAGCACTTCACTGTCCAAGGCCAAGGAAGACCGGGCTAGGCGGCATCTGGGCAAAGCCTAGCCCGGGGCACCTCCTGTGGTCGGCCTTCCTGCCGATCAAATGATTACCTTGGCTAACCACGCCTTTCCGGGCGCCGATCGCTCAGCTTGACTGGCCCCACCATTGCCTGATCAAGCAGCTCGGTCCAACCGAGCACTGCCTTGCCGAGCAGCTTCTTTACGGTCTGGTCGGCGCATGTTCGGCCCAACTTCTGCCCGGCCCAATTCTTGGCAGCCCATCAACGGGCGGATCGCCGGTTATCTCGGCCCCATGCATCATTAGGCTCTCAACCTGCTCGGCCGTTACCTCGGCCCAACTCCAGATCATAAATCTCCCTCTCAGAAGGTATCAACAACAACTGGTTTTATTACGGGACAGCTCATGATGTTCATATCGATCTATTATGTGCCAATGCATCTAGCATTGGGTAGACCTCATACAATAACTGTCCTAGCTCTACCCTATCTTTTGTTTCATTTCTTCTGGAACAATCACAAACACTTTTTTGATTATGGATCTACTACCAGAAATTCAGTATTCTTGAATCCCTATTGCTTTCTTGAGTCTAAATCATGTTCTTTTCTATTTCTCACTGCAGGAAAATTAATTTTTACCGGCGTTTCAGAAAAGTCGCTATAGATATCAAAAACGTCGGCAAAACATATACCGGCGTTTTAAAATTACGTCGAGGACGCAGACATCGCTATAACTTAGCGACGTTTATAAAACGCCGTGCAAATATTCTGCAGCGTTTTTTTAAACGCCAGCATAAATATTGCCCCTATGCACCAATGACATACCAACTTATAGTGGCATTTTTATTAAAACGTTGCTAAAAGCTTTTTTTTTCACAAAAAAACATCTGAACCTAATCAGAATTTTTTCCAAATAAATTTACAATAAAAAAACCAAATCTAATCAAACTATGAATTCGTTCCTCAAAAAAAACAAAAAAGAAAAAAACCAATAAAAGCAAATTTCAAATTACACAATTCACAATATCTCCTTTAACATTCAAAATAAATTGGAACCAATTAAGCCATAAATATTTTTGGAAACATACAAATTTGACAAATGGAAATTTATGACATAACAAAAAATTAAAAATATTTACAGACATAACCAGATCATGACACATTACTACTTCATGACATTAAGTTCACTTTCTGCCATAGCTGCTAAGGTGGTACTCCAAATGCCTGCACTTAAAATAAAATAAGACATCTATGAGAATTGGACAAGTTGTTTGGATATAATAAAAACATTATTAAACATTATCAATAGCAACAGTATATCACAATAGCACTGCTAAGATACTGCATTTATTTTCCAAGTCTAACAACAACAACAAAAACATCATTAAATATCATATATAATATAATGAGGACTTGCCAGAGAAGTGATTTGCTGTTGAGGTCCTGCTTTGGTACATCATGGCCACACGTCGTCACCAAATCCAAAAAAATTGCTTTGTTTTCACAACAAATGACAAGAAAATGCCTTCATTTTGGTACATCACGACCACGCTTCCCACAAAGAAGCTGTCAAATACATCAGAAGGCAAAAGCATAGATCCATTAGTAACAACCAACTACATACAGGGATGGCAATTTGCCACAAAATGTTGGGGACCCTTTCCTTATTAAGCACTTTATGAAAAATATGCATGGGTTCTGACCCAGAATTGAGGCCAAACAAATAACAGATAATTAAAATCTACTTCTAGTTGTTCTTTTATATGTTAAAACCATTATTCACACAAGTTTTGATGATTCTTCCACAATTGATGATGTCTTCCATACTCAGAAGACTTCCTAATTGGGACGCTTAGAAGACTTCCTAATTGGGACGCATCTAATGGTGTGTCCAGTAAACATCCAATGTCCAGAGCGTACTGTAGTTCTCCCCTATCCATATCTTAAAACAGAGAATTCACAACAGCAAAAATCCCAGCATGCAAATACAATTCTCTACTGCCATAAACTATTTGTGAGAAAACAATTTTATTTTTAACAGAAGGTGAAAGAATATTTTTAGATGATTGAGACAGGAAAGAAAGCATAAACTAAATATATTTTGGCAAGTTATTCCCCACAATCA